GGAGGAGGAGGAGGAGGACGACGCGGGAGACACTGAAGATCCGCCGGCGGAGGTGGGGCCGGCGCCGTCGCCCCCCGGGCCGCCTCCCACCGCGACGGCCATTCCGCTGCCGCCCGCGCCCAGGAGCTCGGCTTCGAACAAGGGCTGGTCGATGAGGAGCCCTTCGCCCCGGGCGTCCCAGCGGATGGAGCGGAAGCGCGGGCTGTTGACCAGGCGCCACAGCTTGGCGGGGAAGTTGTTGGGGTTAATGGGCGCGGCCGAGAGCAGGGGGTCCTCCATCGGGGTGGCTCGGTCTGCGGGGAGCTCCCAGGCTTTCGAGGCCACCTCGCGCCCGTTCGCCTTCTCTGCCTGCCTCCCCCCCTCAGTCCAACGGACGGTGGAAGGCCCGCGTGAAGCCAATCGGCTTTTTTCCAACGGACGCCGCCGTCAATCATCGCCGCCGTCGAGGCAGAGCGGGCTGACCGGGCTGCTTGGCGGCGCGCGCTCCGGCCACCCCTCCCGCCAAAAGTCTCGGGCGGAGAGGCTGCGCTGGGGCTGTTCGGTTTCTGGCTTTCAACCTTTCGCTTGGCGAGAAAACAGTTAAAATCACACCTCCCTTCTCGCTGAAACAGAAGCCTGTACCTCCGTGCACACAACACGCTTAACCAAGGCAGATAAAGACACGGTAGCTGCCTTTTTTGGCCCTCTCTGGCCTGCAGCCATGGTGGAGAGAGAACAGTTCTGTTGCCCCCTGAGAGCCCACGCGTGGCTTTGGTGTCTACCCAGTTGTCCTTGATAAGAGTAACCTTAAGAAAGATATAACTTTATACACAAGATCTTTGCGTAAGGACAAAACCTTTTCTGTCATCATCACTCTGGTTCCCATACAGTATGGTATTCTTAGAATCGTAAAGAAGGGGCCATTGAGGTCAACTCCCAGTTCCTTGCAAGAATCCAGATTAAAGCATCCCAACAAATGGCTATCCAGTCTCTGAAGACATCCAGAGCAAAGAAGCTCATAATGCTCCTTGGTAATCATTACCTGTTGAACTATGGTACAGTACTATTATACATCTTTCCTAACACTCAGCTGCAATGTACCTTTGTGTAACATAAGATCATTTTTCTATAGCCTGGATTCTGGGATGGTAGAAGAGGTTATCTTGACATCTGAGCAGGAACTTGCAGGTGCTCTCCTTCCCTCCATTGGCTTTTCTCCAGCCACTCTCCCCCAAGACCTGATTAATCCCCTGATTACATTTGCTATGGTTCTCTGTACCTGTTCCAATTTCAATTGGGGAGACTGTGCAGAATATAGTAGAACTTATGTGTTCTTGTGAACTAAAAGCTACTTTTCTTGATGCATTGCAAAGTTAACATTTGCGTTTGTATCAGCTACATTATAAAGCTAGTTCATTCAGTTCATGATCAGATATAATTCCAAGATCTTTTCAAGACCCAGCTACAGTTTCAAGATCCTTTCCACACATACCTATGCATAGGTAATAGTAAAAATCCCCATAGTACACCTATGCATTTGATACATTTTTCCTCAGTGAAGAACTTTGTATTTTACATATTAAATTTAATTCTGTTACAGTATTTTCAATTTTAATTTATTTAATGCTGGGTTTATATGCTGCTTTCATGCCAGATGTTGTAAACAATTAACAATACCCCAATATAGTAATTAAGTTTAAAATAAGCATTAGGCTGTATAAACAAACATCATCTGGCTGGCACTCCTGAACCATACCCAGGATCAATTCACTTCTCACGCTCCAGCCTATTCATTTTTCACTTTCCAACCCCAAAGGCCCTCTGGAAAAGCCAGGTTTTAACCACCTTCCAAAATAACAACAGGGATGAAGTCATCCTTGTCTCTAGAGACAAGCTATTCTAGAGGAGGGGGACCATCACAGAAAAATCTGTCCAGACCTCCTCTCACCCTAAAATGATCAGTCTATTGATTCTTACCAAACTGGCAGATTCTATTTGGAGCAGATCCTGCCAACCAAGTCTGATATAGCTGATAACCATCTTGAATTGCTCCCAGAAGCCGACTATCACCAGTGCAGTTCCTGTGATAATAGTGTTACATTATTACATCAAGCTTGACCTGTTACTGCATGGGCAGCCTCATTTGAACCAGATATAGCTTCCAAATGGTCATCAGGGACAGCCCCATGTAAAATAACATACAGTAGTCTAGTCATGAGGTAAAAAGGGAATGAGTGACCACCAGCAAAGCTTAAATATAACATTGTTTCACTAAGTTTGGATATATATTTTAACAAATAGAAAATAATTTAGAAGCCTGCTCTATAATCTTAGAGCTTAAAAATACTTTTTTTTTTGTATTTTTCACTGCTGCTAAGTGTTACAGAATTTGCTGAAAAAACATGAACAAGCTTCCTCTCAAAGTATTGGAAGCCAGAACTCTTGGAGCTAAAAAGTGAGATAGAAGAGAACATTGGACTTCCTGTGAAGACTCTGTTCTAAGTGGCTGAAAAGTGGTTCTACTCATTTGCTTCATTTGACAGAATTAAAAAAAAGTTACAGTAATCCTTTGTGGGAGTGGCAGAGGGAGCACCCTTTCAGTTACAGGATTGAAAAGCAATAGAAGATTCAAAGTCAATTCAAAAGAACATAAAAAATCAGTAGCTTATTATGTTTTCTTGGGGGGCGGGGAGTGCTACAGATACCCTCCATCTACTGTAGAAAAGAGCCTATCACAGTACTATTAAATCCAATTTTCTGTTTTCCTACTGTGGAGAAGAGTAATCTGAGAATTGGGAGATACTGAAACAATCCCCAGGATGGATGCAGTTCATAGCTGATGCTTGTACTGTCATGATGGCTGGAGCTGATAACTTCTGGAAAGAGGAAAAAGATCTTCCTGTACAATGACTGTGTTGTAAAATTTATGGATTCCATCTCAATTTAACAGCATGGCATGCAGGCAGTGGCCTGAGAAAAACAAAGCAATCTAAGGAATGCAGCCTTATACATGCAAAGACCAATTAACCCAGTTTGAAACCAGACCAGAATGAAGGCCAACTAATAGGTGAAAATTGCACATCAAGTAGTACTTAGCCTAGAAATGACAGCAGCTGACGATGGCCTAGCTGAGATGGAGAGTATTATTAGCAGATTAAAAAAGTGGCTAGATATGGATCTGTCAGTTTTCCCAGGTAGACCAGACAAGAAACATGACCAGATGAGCTAATTCTACTTTATTGTAAGGCTACATTAACAGAATCTTGCAAGTCTGAAAGTATAAATATCCCACAGTCTTCAGGTTCCCATGTACACATAACATCTAGATTGTGATCCGTCTTACCCACTCATCTCCAGATTCTTGATGTTACTTGCTGGTGCTTGGTGAGTCTCTGAAAAGATTTATATGTGCTAAAGCAAAACCTTGCCGTAATGCAATCAATAAAGCTAGGGGTTAACAAAAAATTATCTGCTCACTCATCAATTAGTGAATCATTTGCCTGATCATAATCTTGTGGGGAGAGTTGGTATCTCACTGATAGGTACAGTGGGGCAAAAAAGTATTTAGTCAGCCACCAATTGTGCAAGTTCTCCCACTTAAA